GGCTATTTATTGTACTTCTACTTTTACACAACCAATTCAACAGTGGTAGGTTGCATCTAGAGTTAAGGTGGTATTTGTTTTTATAGAATTTGCTTTGTTGAGTTTCATTACTTTGTTAGCTTAAATGTCAACTTGTTCATCTTTGAACCCATGTTAGTTCACCCTTCTGTAGTATAATCAGGAGGAATTCTGTCTCACAGATTTTGTTTTCCTGTGATCTTTAACTTCGTTCTTAATACACGTCTCATAGTTTCAATCAGGATGGGAAGCACCTACATTTAATTTTTTGTTTTCTGTTTTATTTGGTGTTCCTATAGCTCTATTCTTAAAATTGTTGGACCCCATCTGCAAGACAGCTTGGGTCTTGATTTGGTTCTTCCTGAATGCCTATTGATTCAGCCAGTTTCATGACTCACTGGCCTTTTCAGATGTGGATGAAACAGACTAAATCCCTAGGAGTATGTCCTCTCATCAATTTTTACAGGTCTGCTCCCATGAGAACCTTCCACTAAAGGTACAAGATATAGTATTTCTCATACTTCTTTATGCCACCAACTATACTTCCATTGTTAGGTAAGTAGAAACCAACCTAATAACCCTTTTCTTTACACAAACCAAAGGGTGGTGAGGGCAGAGAGGTATCCTACTGTGTACAGTGCTTTCCATCTAAGTGTCCTTAGGTATAGTTTTTATATAAGGCTGGTTTGCTTTACTAATTCTCTGTTGAACACAAACCAAAGGGTGGTGAGGGCAGAGAGGTATCCTACTGTGTACAGTGTTTTCCATCTAAGTGTCCTTAGGTATAGTTTTTATATAAGGCTGGTTTGCTTTACTTATTCTCTGTTGAATCTAGTTCCTCAAATATTTGTTTTTGATTCTACTCCAACTCTGCTTGACAAATATATAACTGCTAAATATGTTATCTGTGATGTCATATGTCACATCACTGCATTAGCACATGTAGCTCATTCTTATATAGTGTTATTAATCTTTTTCATTGCACGTACCTTTCTAAGAACATAACACCTGGACACACAGTGTACACATGTATGTAAGAATATAGCAATTATATATGTAGTTTACACATATTCACATCTACAAGAATACAGCAACTGCACTTATTCACGTGTAGCATACATATTTCTGTCAAAACAAAGAAAATGCACTCACAGTTTGCGTGTACCTGTAAGAACATATTTTATAAAACTTTTTGTAGGTTCTTCGAGATATGGCCTCAGTAAGTGAGACAACAGGTTTGATGACAGAGGGACAACAACATGCAAAGTATCAAGCTCTTCGATGTCACATTACTTACCTGCATGAAAGTAGTGAAGAATATGAAAGAATTAAGGGCCATATCTTAGAATCACAGAAGAGGTAGGACATGAAAAGATTTTCTGATGTAAAAAATGTGTATGTGTGTGAATTTATTCAAAGTTTCACAAGTGTCAATTTACATATGGGCTTTTTTTGTTGCAGTGTAAAATAGTGTCATAGTATTGTAATGATTACATTTATAATAGACCATAAAAATTTTGTTTTGCTAAAATGATATCAAAGTAAAAGTGAGTCATTCCATGTTAATTCAACCATTGTGTAATAATGTCCAACATCACATTCTCACATTTTATAGATTTTTTAAAATGCTTATTCTTTGTTCTATTAATAGCAACTATGCAGAATTTAAGCATTTTATAAGACTTTGCTGGAAGATATAGAAATAACATTCCTGCATAACCTCTTATATAAAACAGCCATAACTTGATAATTTGTTTAGGATGCTGAAATTCTGCACATTTGCATTGAAAAGTGAAGGTAATGTATGGCCCACTGGTTGAATTGACATGGAATGACTCAAGAAAAATGTAAGAGGTCTTAACAAAAAAAAAGTACAGTGCACTAATTTAATGTAAGTATAAATTCATCAATTTTATAATGTACTTCAAGAAAATGTGTAGGTTTGTATCACTATGACTGAAATTTAAAACTGTGGAATTTTTATGTTTATGGATTAACTTTAGAAATTTGAGGTTATAAATTAAAATATTGTTTCAAAAAACATGTATCAATAAATTTATAAATAAATTTTGAAACTAAATTTTTGAATGAAACTTGAAACATAAATTGTGTTAGGAAGTGTATGTTATAGTAACTGTGTAAAGTGTATAAATGATTATGTATCCAATTTTTAAGAATTGCAACTTTGTCTTGCTGAGTTAATCATATTTTGAGACTTCTGTGTATGATGAAAATATAATATTTTTATAGAAAGAACTAAGTTCAGTGGCTGAGTGTGGCCTAGTGTTTATTTTGCTGGACTGACAATCCAAGCATCCATGGTTCAGATTCCATTGACAAAAATGTTTTCCCTGCACTTTGGCAACATGGGTGCATTATATAAGAATGTTTAAACTCTATTATTCAATTAGGGTAGCAAAACGTTGGTAGTGGGTGCTGTTCAGTAGTTGTTATTAGTCTAACAGCTCAAAAATAGGGATAACTAGTGTAGATAGCACTGGTGTAGTTGTGGACAAATTTCTGAAATAAACAAGGTAATTTCAGTGGGATGTAATTATAGTATTTATATATATATTATGTTTTCTGTGTACACTAAAAGGTTTTTAAAGTGTATGATAGCTATAATTATTCTGCTAATGCATTTGTTGTAAATTTAGTTCAAAAGATCTTATCATTCTAAAAAATTTGATATCATTTTGTAAGTAAAGAAATTTCTTGATTAGAGCCAAAATTTGTAATTCTCCTCCTAGGGATACAGGCATACAGGTCCACAATATATTTTGTGTACAGAGAGATATAGAAGCTGCAGAATTTTTCTATCACCTGTCTAACCAGCAAGAATTGTATCATTCCACACATTCTGAAAACTTGGTGGGAATCCTGTCACGGGGACTTCTTCCTCCGATGTCTGTACAAACTGAACTTGATGAAAATCAGACAGATGTAGGCATGTTAGGAGCAGGAATCTATTTTGCTGATTCAGCTAGGTACTTTTTTGTTGAAGAAATAAAGTTAATTTATATAAAAGAAAATATAAATTATTGTAACGTTACTGTGCTGAATTCTTGTTCTGTTCGTAAGTCAGTCACAAATATTTTTCACAGTGTTAGAACTATAGGACCACACAATCTTTTTTTATTTTTCTTTATTTCTGACCGTACAAAATTGATTAAGAAGAAACCAGTTAACACAGTGTATTGTCTTACTGTATTTGTGAAGCTCTAATTTCAGTTGGACAATTTTTCAACAGATATGAACTATTTTCAGAATATTGTTAACAACAGTTACCACCTCTGGGTGAAATCTTTCCAAGATAGCATCTTTTTTTTCTCATCAAAACATTATAGTTAATTAAGTTGAAACTAACATACATGTACCGTGACTGTAAATGTGTTTCTCATCATGAATGGTCAGATAACTTATTTCACAGGATTTTACTTACCATAAAATCAGACTGTTTGATTTCAGAGTCACCAACACCTTGAACACTATCAAAACCCTCTGGAGGAGACGTCAGAGTAGTATCAAATGTGTATGTTTCATAAACTTTGCCCAAAGCTACTTTACACACCAAAAGAAATCTTGTTCCTCGTTCTTTGCATAAGTTAGAGTACTTTACACAATTACTGAAATCAACAACAAATTACAATTATTCATATGTCCCATATTCATTGAATTTTTTCATGCATTATTTATACATTAAATTATCCCTTTTGTTGCTATGTTTTAGGTTATTTATTTGAAGAATTTGATTTAGCATAGGTTTATGTTTTCATAAAAGATGCAATTAATTATTCATTTTTATTGAAAGCAAATGGGTTAGTATTCAATTCTACTGGAAACAGTCTTGTTTATTATAACACATTGATTTAATATTAATTTCAACAAGAAGTAATTTGCTGATGATGTTTCATTGGAAACAAGTGAGTTATATTGACTTTCACTGGAATTTTGTTATGGCAGACTGACTTTATAATGACTTCTATGAGAAGTGATTAATCATTTATTGTTTGTATGTGGTATTGAATAGATCTGAAAGCATTGAATTTCAAAATAATAACTAAGGCTTTGATAGACTTGAATAGCACCACTTTTTGTCTGAAGAGCTATGAATGGTTTTTAAAATTAAATAGATTTGGCAAACGTTCTAACCTTTATGATAGTGAAAAAATTAAATGTAGATATACACTAGAATCATGAGAAAAAATAGCAGATGTAATGTTTGGTAGAGGCCTGAAAATATTTTATTTTTTTTGGTGAATGTTATTGGTTATTTTAGAATATGAAAAGAAATTACTGAAAACAGTTATAAATAAAAAAACATCAAAAATTAATTCATGTAAAGGTTTTCTTGTTTACAAAGTTTGAAATCAATTGTGATCTCTCGTTCAGGTTATGAAACATGAATTTCACGTTTATTAGTCATTGGTCACTGTTAAAGATAATTAGACATTGTTTAGAATTGTACTTTTAATAGCATTCACACATTTTGTCACTAAAATTATTATTTTTGTTAATAGAATATTAAGTTGATAACTAATTTGTGTAATAAACACATTACAAGTGAATATGCATGCTTTTCATTGAATTAGCTGAGCTTCTTTTAATTCTGCACAATCCCTTGGCAAGTTTTATTACATCATGATAACTTGATAATTTGTCAATATTGATGCAAAACTCACATAAGCACTGATTGATTATTAATTTCTGTAAGAAGTGATTAATTATTGACTTTCATCAGGAACACTTATATTTATTATAACATACTTTGTTACTAGGTTCAACAACAGTGATTAATTATTGGTTCTTACTGGTTGCATTTGGGTTGTTATTAATCTTTGCTGAAAGTAGTCTTATTTATTAACTCTTTTTTTGGAAGGCTCTGTACTTTAAAAAGTTATTTATACTTGAAGGAGTTTCTTTTAATATAAATTCCTGCTGGAAGCAGTCTCAATTAATATAATTTTTTGCTGAAAGGAGTTTCATTTAATATAAATTTTTGCTAAAAGCAGTTTCATGAGATATACTTTTATGCTGGAAGCAGTCTCATTTGATATAGATTTTTCTGAAAGGAATATCATTTAGTATAAATTTCTGCTAAAAGCTGTTAAATTTTTACTGGAAGCAGTCTCATTCAACTTTACTTTTTGCTAGAAACTTTTTAAAAAAAAAAACTCATCTAGAAGCTTATTAGTTATCTCAGCATTTTGTTGATTCTGTTTTGATCAGTTTGTTCTGTTTTGTCATCATAGATTAATTTCCATTACTAATTTTTCAGGTACATTCAATTAATGAAATATGTTTCATTCAAAATAATTTGTATTGCTATTAGTTAGTTGTTAGGTTTGAGAAGTTTTTGTGTAATATATTTTCACATTATACAAGATATAGTGTAATCATTAAAAATTATATTCATATAATTTTTATATGTGTATTTATGCATTTTTTTAAAGAAACTAAATTATTTATATTGTATGTATGACATTAGTGATTGAAATCATATCACTACTTCTGATATGATAACTTACCTCCTTTCACATAACAGCTTTTTTTTGACAAGTACTGTTTTCTACATGTGCAAATTTTCACTCACCACTAACCTTGTGATCCATCCTACCTCCAAGTGATTGCATGTGATACAGCTGCATTGTAGCATGCAAATGAACATGTGACAACCCTCCACTAATAGGACTGTGATTCACCCTTCTAGCGCAGCTGACTCCCTTTATACTATAGAAACAATCTTCACTTCTTGATTTGGTATATTCGAGTGCAGACGTATTTTAATTTTGCTCAATTTTTACTTCTTTTTTTAATATTTCCCCTAATTAGTTCAATTAATGACTTAGTTGTTTTTACATTCTGCATTATTCCATTATATTTGTGGATTGTTTTATCCACACAAATTTCTTTTCTTTGAATTCTCAAAATAGTGTTACAACTACTACTTCTTTTGTAACACTTGCTTCTTGTTTTTGTCTTCTTCATTCTTTCTTGCCCTCTTCTACAAGAATGAGATTTCACCGTCATTCTCCATGCCCTTACCCAACCTCGTTTCGAACCTTTGACTACCTGTTCCTAAATCCCACCTATTTTGCTTCTTTTTTGGTCATCATAGGTTGGATGTGTTCTTGTTCAACATATTATTTATTCATTATTATTATGTTTTCCTTTCCAAGTCCTTAGTGGTTTGTGAGGGAATCTTCATTATCACACTGGTATTCCTTCTTTCCCTTTCTCATTTGTATTCCCCTTTACAATCTGGATCATCTCCTCTGCCTGTTTTGTGCTCTCTGATGTTAATTCACATCCATGTCTTTCTTCCTTGGTTACAGATCCCATGTCATTTTCCATTGGAATCCTTCTTTCACCCATAACCTTTCCCCTATGACCTTTACCAGTTGGATTTGCCAACTTATTTGGTTGGCTTATTCTTCCTTGTCTTTGGTTTCCCATCATATATTGTTGTCTCCTTTCACTATATCCATTATCTCACCTTATTCCTGGGTGCTCCTTTCCATCGTCTGTTGGTGGAGATTTTCCAGGCTTGCAGGTGGACCACACTGCACACTTTCATCACACATTGTTTATATTTGGCTGTATCCTCCTCCTCCTCTGGATACTGCTTGTTGCCGAATCTCACACTACACATCTTGGTTCAACTTTGAGTGGGTAAGTTTTCTTTTCATATATGATCCTGCTCTATGGTGAGCAGTGCCTGTCCAGATATACTATTTAGATGGGGAACTCCCATCCTACTACCTCCTGGATGTTGGTTCCAAAGTAGTCTGGTTTTGGATGGGAGCTGATCCAGCCACCAAAATCCATACTGTGCGGCTTTTAAGGTCTATAATGCCCACTGTTGAAATGGGGTGTTCTGCAAGGCTGCTATTAGATTTATCCTCACTGTATATTGCATCATAAATATGTCTGTCCCAGACCATATCAACTCATGGACTATCGTGAGTAAAGCATGGAATGGATTGCTGCCCACCCCTCCGTTCCTGGTTGCATACATTGGATTCAGCCTGCTTTTAAAAGTAAGATTCCATGGTCACCAATTGCACTTTATCCAGTGTTGCATCCCTCTAAACTCCTCACTGTTGCACTATCTTCCCTCTCTTCTGGTAAAGTATGCAAGTTTTTACCACTTATCAGCTCCTAGCAGCTGGAGTGGTGGACCATGAAGGCTTCCTCAGTTGAGAGTAGGGTGATGATGTTCTGCTGGTGTGGATGGCATACTCTCTTTTTACAATGGACCTGATGTACAATTCCAGATTCTGTCTGGTGATGGACTGGATGATTCTACCACATGCAGTTCACCCCTCCACCTGGGAAACCTTCTTCCAACTGCTGCCTAGATGTCAGTTCCTGGGTGTGCTGGTGTTTGTTGGAGCTGGACAAGCTACCTTAACTCTCTCATCACAGGGTCATCGAATTGACCAACTTCATAACCACTTTGTACTTGCTGTAGTTTTCATACTATAACTTTTAATACAGTATGTGTATCTTTACAAAATTTGTCAAACTTTTAGTAAACATTACGAGCCTTTTGTACACAAAACAGCAGATTTTTCAATGAAGTATTTTTACTAAAGATTTGTCCATGAATATATTGAGTCTTTTTTGTGACAAGTCTAAGTGCAAATTGATTTTCATGTTAAGATTAAAATTACTTTTCTTCATTTCAAAAATCTCAAATTTCATTTTATTGCCATTTGATCCATGTTTAACTACTATTTGTTCCATTATAAGCTGTAAATCACTTGGCAAACTTGCACCTCACATTACGCTATTGAATAACCTTGCTCATGAGCTACTCCAGTGTAAGAAGTAGAGTCTCAGCAAAATATGGTACAAGGAACAAGAGACTAAAGATTCAAAGAGAAGGAGGGTAAGGGTGTGGTGAACAGTATTCAGGTCCAAATCAGGAAGGACTGCAAGACGAGGATGGCAAAGGTGGCAAAACTAACAAAAAAGGATAGAAAAAACAGGAGAAGATAATTTATAACAATAATAAGAAAACTTTAAAGTATTAGACAGAGCTGCCCGATAACCAGCCAATCTACCACATGCAGTTCACCTTTTCAGCTGGCTTTCCCCTATCCTCTTGCATGCATGGATGTTAGTTTCTGGGTGGTGTCTGGTGTTAAATCGGCATAGGACCAGTCTTAACCCACCACATTTGCTTTCCTGGGTAGCCTAGTGTTGTTTGTGTACTTGGTGTACACACATGTGCCCTGCCTGAGTTGTTCGAAAAGGATATGCTTTTCCCTTC